GTGGCAGCAGTTGTCTTTGGTTATCTATTAGTAACTGGGCTGTGGCAGCAGTTGTCTTGGATATCTATTAGTAACTGGGCTGTGGCAGCAGTTGTCTTTGGTTATCTATTAGTAACTGGGCTGTGGCAGCAGTTGTCTTGGATATCTATTAGTAACTGGGCTGTGGCAGCAGTTGTATTGGATATCTATTAGTAACTGGGCTGTGACAGCAGTTGTATTGGATATCTATTAGTAACTTGGCAGTGACAGGAGTTGTGAAAGGACACAGACCATTTTTGGCAGGACAATGATGAATAGTATTCTACACATGTCCACCACGTTTCATTAAAGTCCGATCATATCTGACTGATTTATAGAGCAAAAATCGGTCCCCATGTTAACAGATAGTGATTTTTTGGATTTTCGTGAATTTGCTGTGACCTTGTCCCTCCAAGAACTAATGACTTCTAAATTTGGTCATTGTCCAGATATATATCAACTTTCGTCCAAATCCATTTAGACGTTTTCGAGAAATCTTGCTGACAGACACATAAACACACACACACACACACACACACAGGGGTGAAAACGAGTAACTAGGCACCGACTGGTGTTGGCTTAAGTAGCTAATAACGGAGCTAATGATGTTTTATTCTGAAAAACAATGCTTTCAGCTCATGAGAAAAACTTAGAAACGATTTAGGAAATGAGAAGTTGTTATTAAAAAACAACACATTAGGGTATAAAGTTTTACTATAAAGAGCTTAAAGTTGTCGTAACAAACAGTGTCAGTTGACATCAGCTATACTAGGACAGTAACTATCCTCGTCAGGTTTCAGTTGTCATCAGGTTACTAGGACAGTGTCTGTCCTCGTCAGGTTTCAGTTGTTATCAGCTATACTAGGACAGTGTTTGCCCTCGTCAGGATTCAGTTGACATCAGCTATACTAGGACAGTGTCTGTCCTCGTCAGGTTTCAGTTGTTATCAGCTATACTAGGACAGTGTTTGCCCTCGTCAGGTTTTAGTTGTCATCAGCTATACTAGGACAGTGTCTGTTCTCGTTAGGTTTCAGTTGTCATCAGTTTACTAGGACAGTGTCTGTCCTCGTCAGGTTTCAGTTGTCATCAGCTATACTAGGGCAGTGTCTGTCCTCGTCAGGTTTCAGTTGTCATCAGCTATACCAGGACAGTGTCTGTCCTCGTCAGGTTTCAGTTGTCATCACCTGAGCTAGGTCGGCTTGTGTTCTCAACAGTTTAAGTTGATGTATTTTTCACTATAACTGCCTTATTTATTTTTTTATGAAAATTGATAGGTACGAAATCTATGATCTAAATTCAACTTCTGTATTTCCGAATCATTCACTGTTTGACAAAGAAAATCTTCCAGTTATTGTAACAAATGTCGTCGTGTTTTGATGTATATCGATCGTATTATTTTTGCAAAGAAAATGTATTTAGAACCAGAAGGAACAGTAAATCTTAACCAAACCATCTCAACAGACAACAAGGCTTTCCCTTCGTCCCCCACACACGTGCCCGACATTCTTCTGCCCCTCCTTCCTGAAGTTATGGTACATTACATCCAAATCTCTTATCTTTCTGGGTCATTTGCAGAGTTTCAGATACTCAAAGAACTACAGTTTTCGTTCTGCCAGCTAAAACACTTCAAGTACTGAGTATGTGTCACATTGAAGAAGCACACATGTGTCACAGTGAAGAAGCACAATTAAAAATCTAACTTATCAACTTAATACTACACCCTCTAAAGAATCACATTTAAATGAGATACACGATATTCTGACATCTCGTTCTTTATCGCTGACAACGCTAGAGGTACTGTGTTTCTTTTCTAATACATATAAAGCACTAGAATCTAAATACGTAGGGTTAATTTATATGTTTTCCTGCTAGTCTGTGTCTTCTTACAAGACGCTTTAAAAGGTTAATTTATATGTTTTCCTGCTAGTCTGTGTCTTCTTACAAGACGCTTTAAAAGGTTAATTTATATGGTTTCCTGCTAGTCTGTGTCTTCTTACAAGTCGCTTTAAAGGATTAATTTATATGTTTTCCTGCTACTCTGTGTCTTCTTACAAGTCGCTTTAAAGGGTTAATTTATATGTTTTCCTGCTAGTCGGTGTCTTCTTACAAGTCGCTTTAAAGGATTAATTTATATGTTTTCCTGCTAGTCCCTGTATTCTTACAAGTCGCTTTAAAGTATTAATTTATATGTTTTCCTGCTAGTCCGTGTCTTCCTACAAGTCGCTTTAAAGAGTTAATTTATATATTTTCCTGCTAGTCCCTGTCTTCTTACAAGTCGCTTTAAAGTATTAATTTATATGTTTTCCTGCTAGTCCCTGTCTTCTTACAAGTCGCTTTAAAGGGTTAATTTATATATGTTTTCCTGCTAGTCTGTTTCTTCTTACAAGTCGCTTTAAAGTATTAATTTATATGTTTTCCTGCTAGTCCGTGTCTTCTTACAAGTCGCTTTAAAGGGTTAATTTATATATGTTTTCCTGCTAGTCCGTGTCTTCTTACAAGTCGCTTTGAAAAATTAATTTATATGTTTTCCTGCTAGTCCCTGTCTTCTTACAAGTCGCTTTAAAAAAATTAATTTATATGTTTTCCTGCTAGTCCCTGTCTTCTTACAAGTCGCTTTAAAGGATTAATTTATATGTCTTCCTACTAGTCCCTGTCTTCTTACATGTCGCTTTAAAGGGTTAATTTATATGTTTTCCTGCTAGTCCGTGTCTTCGTACAAGTCGCTTTAAAGGGTTAATTTATATGTTTTCCTGCTAGTCTGTGTCTTCTTACAAGTCGCTTTAAAGGATTAATTTATATGTTTTCCTGCTAGTCCGTGTCTTCTTACAAGTCGCTTTAAAGAGTTAATTTATATGTTTTCCTGCTAGTCTGTGTCTTCTTACAAGTCGCTTTAACACATCATAAACGTTATGTTTGTTCCATCCACAGCGCTTCGATACTCTCATTGGTTCACTGTATATTTTCTCTCATTGGTTCACTGTATATTTTCTCTCATTGGTTCACTGTATATTTTCTACATATACGGATTATACTACTACAAATAATATTATGTCTGTTATTCCGTGAGTATGTTTGTTAGGTACTAACTGTCGTGTTCCACGTGTTTTCTAATATTATGTCAAAGGTTTTGTGAATATGCTAATTAAGTTGAATAATATCACTGTGGATGTTATACCGTCAGGTTTGACAATATCACTTTGGATGTTATACCGTCAGGTTGGGCAATATCACTCTTCATGTTATACCGTCTGGTTTGACAATATCACTGTGGATGTTATACTGTCAGGTTGGGCAATATCACTCTGGATGTTATACCGTCAGGTTAGGCAATATCACTCTGGATGTTATACCGTCAGGTTGGGCAATATCACTGTGGATGTTATACCGTCAGGTTGGGCAATATCACTCTGAATGTTATACCGTCAGGTTTGACAATATCACGGTGGATGTTATACCGTCAGGTTTGACAATATCACTGTGGATGTTATACCGTCAGGTTTGACAATATCACTGTGGATGTTATACCGTCAGGTTGTGCAATATCACTCTGGATATTATACCGTCAGGTTTGACAATATCACTGTGGATGTTATACCGTCAGGTTGGGCAATATCACTGTGGATGTTATACCGTCAGGTTTGACAATATCACTCTGGATGTTATACCGTCAGGTTTGACAATATCACTGTGGATGTTATACCGTCAGGTTTGACAATATCACTCTGGATGTTATACCGTCAGGTTGGGCAATATCACTCTGGATGTTATACCGTCAGGTTTGACAATATCACTGTGGATGTTATACCGTCAGGTTTGACAATATCACTCTGGATGTTATACTGTCAGGTTGGGCAATATCACTCTGGATGTTATACCGTCTGATTGGGCAATATCACTCTGGATGTTATACCGTCAGGTTTGACAATATCACTCTGGATGTTATACCGTCTGATTGGGCAATATCACTCTGGATGTTATACAGTCTGGTTGGGCAATATCACTCTGGATGTTATACCGTCAGGTTTGACAATATCACTGTGGATGTTATACCGTCAGGTTGGGCAATATCATTGGATGTTATACCGTTACAACATCCGGAACGATACAAGTAGGATGAAGGGCCTCATATTATTACTTCTTTCAATGCCTTTACAAATATTTCAATATTGGAAATGATAAAACACAATTCATGAAACCATATCGCACACCTCGGGTTTACGTTCAAAGTACCACCATATCGCACAATTCAGGTTTACGTTCAGAGCACCACCATATCACACACTTCAGGTTTACGTTTAAAGCACCACCATATCGCACACTTCAGGTTTACGTTCAGAGAACCACCATATCGCACACTTCAGGTTTACGTTCTGAGCACCCTAAAGATCACATTATCAGTCTATTTTACATGTGCAATTAACAATAATAATGTTGTATAATTTTGTGTGTGTGAGGAGGAGGGGAAGGTGGTTCTTCATGAAATGTACAGTCAGTCAACTTATGTTCTTTGGACTGATATTATTAACTTCACTATACGTACTTTCAACCATTGTTAATGATATTATTGACCCAATAATAATATGTATGTAACAACACAGCATGTACTGGTGGTTCTCGTTTAAGTAAAATTTTGACAATTAATTGGAGTCTTCAGTAAGAAAATGAGCGCTTACCATTCGTAATAGAATAGTACTTGCCGTCTCTTCATAATCATCTATAGTAGAAAATACACTGAGCACCAGGCACAAGAATACCATTAAAAACCTGGAAGACAGAGAGAGAAGTGTTACTGTTTTTAAACAATGAGATGAAATGTGTTTTACATACTTCAGATAAAATACATTTAAGAGGGTAACTTTCATGTTCAACGTACTTCGAATGTGAAAGGAAAATGAAACACTGAAAATATTTCGCTAAAATAATTTTTTTTCGAAACTGTACTCTGAAAAAAAAATGTCTTTATTTTTTTTTACGAATGTTTTACCAATTCAGTGGGTTGGGTTTGATTTAAAGGTCAGCGTGCCGGGCTCCAGTAACGAATGTCCAAAGTCCAAGCCCGCGCTATGCCGCTGGATCCACTACAACAATTTTATCTGTGACAACTAATCCTACTAATCAGTTAAGAGTAGACATGTAGGCTGCTAATTGGTGGCCCTATCTTGGACCACCGACTATGCCTTAACCTCTGACCTGGTCTTATAGTGTGCCTTTCAAGTTGTAGGTTGGATAGACCTCGTCAATTGTTATAAGATCACGAAATGAAGAAGCTTAGTGTTAAGAATGTGTCACACAATGAAATTTAGTGTTAAGAATATGTCAAATAATGAAGCTCAGTATTAAGAATGTGTCACACAATGAAGTTTTAGTGTTAATAATGTGTCACATAATGAAGTTTAATGTTAAGAATGTGCCAGATAATGAAGCTTAGTGTTAAGAATGTGTCACACAATGGAGTTTAGTGTTAAGAATGTGTCATACAGTGAAGCTAGTGTTAAGAATGTGTCACATAATGGAGTTTAGTGTTAAGAATGTGTCATACAGTGAAGCTAGTGTTAAGAATGTGTCATACAGTGAAGCTAGTGTTAAGAATGTGTCACATAATGAAGTTTAATGTTAAGAATGTGTCACATAATGAAGCTTAGCGTTAATAATTTGTTACAAATACTGAAGGAGTTTAGTGTTAATAATAGATTACACGACATTTAGTTTAGTGTTACAAATGTGTTCTAATGTAGTTTAGAGTACAGATCCTTCTAATTATTTCAACTGTATCAGAAATAACTGTAAATAAGTCTGGAAATATTAAAAGATGTTTTGAGAACGTGTATCTGAAACTTGATATGGAAACTTGAAAAGATCTGAAAAAACAGCTTCCCTTCTAACAGTAATTGACCAACGGTGAATTATTATTAACGTTTGATAAATTAATCGAATCCAAAGAACGGCCAGCTAATTCAATATATCCTTCTAACTATAAGAATGAAGTGTCGCTAATAATGCACGTGGTTCTCCAGGCCTAACTGTATTAGTTCGATTATTTTAAAATCCACATAAGATCAAACTGAAAAACACAATATAAACTGAAAAGGAAAAATAAAATCAAATATATTAAGTACACGCTAATCTAAAGAGAGAATACATAATCTGAGGAGAAAAATATACAACATATGAGGTCAGTCTGACTATTACATAAACTGAGGAGAAAATATACAACATATGAGGTCAGTCTGACTATTACATAAACTGAGGAGAAAATATACAACGTATGAAGTCAGTCTGACTATTACATAAACTGAGAAGAAAATATACGGTGTAGAAGGTCAGTCTGACTATTACATAAACTGAGGAGAAAATATACAATGTATGAAATCAGTCTGACTACTACATAAAGTGAGAAGAGAATATACGATGTAGAAGGTCAGTCTGACTACTACATAAACTGAAGAGAAAATATACGGTGTAGAAGGTCAGTCTGACTATTACATAAACTGAGGAGAAAATATACAACGTATGAGGTCAGTCTGACTATTACATAAACTGAGGAGAAAATATACAACATATGAGGTCAGTCTGACTATTACATAAACTGAGGAGAAAATATACAACGTATGAAGTCAGTCTGACTATTACATAAACTGAGGAGAAAATATAC